TTAGATACTGAAATTCTCTCAGAAATAATTTTAAACTTCTATAATGCAGCATCAACCCACACATTTAAAATTTTTTTTTTGGCAGCTGGGCAGTACAAGGATCCAAACCCTTGACCCTGGTGTTATAACACCACGCTGTAACCAACTGAGCTAACTGGCCATCCCTAATTTCTAATCTTTAACTCTCCTTAACAAAGCTGGAAAGATAGAGTCTGCCTTATCAATGAATATCATGGATCCAAAAACAATGAAGTAACAAGAAAACTTATCCACAGCTCATTATAGATGAATAGCACTTTTTAAACACTGAGATATAATTCACATACCACAAAACTCACCCTCTTAAAGTATATAATTCAGTGGTTTTTAGTATGTTCAGAAGGTTGAACAGCCATCACCAGTATCTATTTCAAGAACATTTTGATCACCTTAAAAAGAAATTCTGTACCTATTTGGCAGTCATTCCCCATTCTCTCTTCCACACAGCCCCTGGCAACCACTAATTTACTTTCTGTCTCTAGAATTTGCCTATTCTGGACATTTCATTAAATGTAATCATACAGTTTATGACTTATTGTTTCTTTTTTTTTTTTTTTTTTTTGTCTTTTTCCGTGTCCGGCAATGGATCGCAACCCTCAGTGTTGCCCCCGCACCGGACCGGGGACCGGCAACGGGATCGCAACCCTCGGCGCTGTTCTCGCGCCTCGCTCAGCCAGCGAGCGGGAACCGGTCTGTATGTGGGATCCGAACCCTCGGGCGGGAGCGCCGCTGCACTTCCCAAGCGGCGCACTATCTATCCAGTGCGCCACCGGGCCGGCCCAATGACTTATTGTTTCTGCCTTCTCTCACATAGCATGTTTTCAAGGTTCATCCTGGTAAAACATGTACCAGTAATTCATTCACTTTTATGGTTTCAATATACCACATTTTTTTTTAATCCACGAATGACATTTTTTAAATATATTTTTGTTACCTATGTTAGTTCTCAAGATTACTCAAGATTCAACTCAAGATACATTATTCACACACTGATCTCTTGGCCTACAGCACTGATTATCAGCATTTTACTTTTTGCCAATTTATAAATCATCTCATACATTATAATCTTCCTTGTATTGTGTGTCTTGTGAGTACTTTGGCAAATACTCCTTGGGCTTTCCAGCTAGTACCTCTTTTTCTAGAAATTGCCCCTTCCCTCCAACCCTCCTATATGGTTAATATGACCTTACTCCTGTCTACTACTGGTGATTGGTCCAGGAATGACAACCTGATTCAAGGTGGACCAATAGGCCCTTCACTGGGAATGCAGAATTGGGAGTAAGATTCTGTTTCCAGCTAGCTGCTCTCTTGATCGCAGGAGCTACAATCTCAGAAGCTTTATGCTATTAACATTATCTGCCATGTAGACTAAGAAACTGAGAAAACTGTTCTGTAAGAGGAGATGAATGAATCAAAGAGGGACAGAGGGTGCATGAATAGTAGAGAGAGAAAGGAGTTGGAGCAAGAACTCCCAGGTTCCTTCTGGTGCTGCTGCCTCCGATTCCAGGCCATTCCTAAGGCCCAGCTGCATGCCTGCCCTTGGATTCCACAGGACACCCTATATACGTATAATAAATCCCTCTTGCTGTTTAAGTTAGCTGAGGAGGTTTCTGCTATCTTGAGTCCAGAATCCTAACATAATCATCTATTCAATAAGTTTTTAAGCCCCTTATTATCAAGGGCTCAATCTCCAGAGCACCCATTACCCAAACACATACTTATTTAAATTACCACCTGTGGGGACTGGCCTGTTAGCTCAACTGGTTGTCAAGGTTAGGATCCCCATACCCAACAGCTGCCTAAATAAATAAATAAATAAATAACCACCTGTAGAATAATTTGGAAAATTATCTATAAAAATACTCAAGACATTCTTGGATGAGTATGTAGAAAAAAATTAGGATTTCTGTCCATTTTTTAAAAAAGCAATATCACTATATGACCAACTCAATATATCTTTGTACCATTTTGCAAAAAATCATTTCCTCAGAAAGTAAGCCTCTTTTCATCTTACACTACTATATGCCCATATGCACTTGCTTGGCAAGTGTTTTTAAGTCTTTTTTTTTTTTTGTCTTTTACGTGACCAGTAAGGGGATCGCAACCCTTGGTGTGGTGTTGCCCACACCAGGGGATCCAAACCCGCGGCGGGAGCGTCGCTGCACTCCCAGCGCCGCACTCTCCCGAGTGCACCACGGGCTCGGCCCTGTTTTTAAGTCTTTTAAAAAGCAAAGTGTTACATTTTCCTAAGAAGATTAGAAGTTTCTTGAGAACCAGTAACTTCTATTTCCTTTTTAAGCAAACTCCCACAGAACCTACTAAAGAATAACATTCAGCATACAGACATATTAATGAGTAGCTGACTTCCCTGGATTCATTTTCTCCTCCTGTAAGCAGGATATATTGTCAAGCACTAGTAATTCCCATAAGGATAACTTACGTGTAATTAAAAAACACTGCACACACCCAATTATCATACAGCACAGGCTGGGTGGGTGATGAAACACTCCTTAACTGACTGCACAGAAAATGTAGTTTTAGCAAGCTTGTTCTATCGCTCAGTCTGAGGGGTTACTGCCACCACTGACCTCTGCAATGTTAATTCCCTGAGTATTCCTGAAAGTCTTCACTTCCTTGCACAGTCCTTTTCCCAAAATCAAATCCAGGATTTGTCACCTAATTGGTTCTTAGCGGGGATAACAGAGATAAAACCAAAAATCCAAAATATTTTCTTAAATCCCTATTAGAAATTCTATAGGGATAAATGCTAATCCTTCAAAGTCTAAGACTTGGTTCCTGAGTGGATTTTGTATCACACTGTTTAACATCCTATCTTTCCTAAGATATACTTAAAATTTTTAAAAACTTCTAAATATTACAAAGTCTTAGAGAGATAGAATCCCCTTTCAATCACTGAAGTATTCCAATTGGGTATAACTCCCTACTGTACCAAGCACTGGGGCAGTTTCTGATGGCCTTAACCCCAAATTTGCCTCTCTGTAGCTTGAGGGAAATGTGTTTGCCAAACCTCTAAGAGACAAAGTACTACTTATTTACTACTGCACCTTTCAAAAAAATTCAAGCCTCTAGGTTTAAAAAATGGCTCACAGTAGGGTTTGGTAAGGTTTTCTCAGACTCAAAGCTGTTAGGGCACAAAGGGACTTTAGAAACCTACTCTAAGACAATTATTTTACAAAAGAGAAAATGAGGTGGATAAGAACTAACAAATTCAAAGAGTACGCTGGTAAAACCAGCATACTTAGAATAAGGGTACTCAGACTTCCAGCTGGAAGCTCATTTCATCATACCACCTACCTAACACGTACAAGTATGGATAGCACTGAAATCCCTCTGCTTTCTAACAGAAAAAAACAAAAGCAAAAACTACAACTTTCTACTTTCAAAAGTGAGAGTGAGAAGCAGAGGTATCACATCTCATTTCACAGAGGTAAATAATTTTTTCGTAAATATCATTCCATAATTCAGATTTTTTGTGTGTGTGTGTGTGGCTGGTCAGTAAGGGGATCTTAACCCTTGACCTTGGTGTCCATAATTCAGAGTTTTAAAAATTGCCACTGAGGTATAAATGTCATGATGAGCTTGTCCTGGAGGCTAAGTGAAATGAAACTGAACACCAAATCTTCCCTGTAACCTGATGGGTTTTCACCATAACGAACTATGGTAGCTATTGATTTTGTGTGCCCAAAGCTATCCTCATTCTCCCTTTTCCATGAAAATGTATGTAGTCCCTTGGTCAGAAGGATGGGCATAGGTCCTAAGCGTGGCTAATCAAGTATCTCAAATCATGTTTATGCTGTTCTAAGTAGGGCCAACCAGAATCCTTCCCTAGAACTGTGTGTGACACAGATGCTGAGAAAGATAAACTCCCTCCCTCTTTCCCACCATGTGGAGAAGGCTGTCTGTAGTAGGAGAGCCTAAAACCAACATTCAAAGAGAAATAGAGATAAGCAGAGATGAGGGATAGAAAGAGATTCTGGCAATGTCAAATCCTTGGTTCTCAGCTGGCTGGTTAGCTCAGTTGGTTAGAATGTGGTACTGACAACGCCAAGGTACAGGGTTCAATTCTTGTACTGGCCAGCTGTCAAAAAAAAAAAAAATATCCTTGGTTCTCATTCCTGAGCTGGTTCCTTTGATACTGCAAGTTAGTCCTGTATCTTTATCAAGTATAAAAGCCAGTAAATTCCTTTTTGGCTTAAAATAGTTTGAATTGAGTTTCTGTCACAACTCAAAAATCCTAACCTATACTTACCCCAGAAGAGAGGACTAGACAGACACTGCCCTTAATACAGGGATATCAATAAACTTCTGTTAAAAATTTTTTTCTTCTTTTAATTTGGATGCCTTTAAACAGACTCTACTGTCTCTTCTATCATCCTAATAACTTACACCCACCAACTTCACTGTTTCTGTTATATGGCCCCTAAATGTACAGGTTGAGTACCCTTCTTCTGAAAATCTGAAATCTGAAATGCTCCAAAATCCAAAACTTTTTGAGCACTGACATGACACTCAAAGGAAATGCTTACTGGAACATTTTAGATTTTGAATTTTTGGATTAGGGATGCTAAACCAGTAAGCATATTGCAACTATTCCAAACTTTGAAAAAAAAAAATCCGAAATCTGAAACACTTCTGGTCCCAAGCATTTTGGATAAGGGATATTCAACCTGTATCTGAGTTTGCCAGTGCTTCCCTAGGAGGTCCCTACAATTTTTTTTTAATCCTAATATAAGCTTGTTTCATTGGGTTTTCAATAAAAATTTAATATAAAATATATTCCGGATAATACAGGTTAAATGAGATTTTACCTATCTAGAAAGTCAAAAAGACAGTCTAGGTATATCAACATTACAGTATGCTAGGAGGCAAAATTCCAAAATTTAAAGCATGTTTTTAACTTTGTAACAACTGAAATCAATAATAAATAATCTCAAACCTACCTCCAATAAGGCTCCAGTCTGGAAGAATTTCAAAGGCTTTTCAATTGAATAATAAAGGCTATGGTAACTACCCGTAGCCAGGTATGCTCTGACCAGACCAACTGCTATAACCAGCCACCTAATAAAAGAGAAAAGAGCAATCAGGAAAAAAGAGGCTAAGTAGGCTTTAAAGTAATAGAAAGATGTGGTAATAACAGATTTTGCAAAAGGTGACCTCAAGAATCAGTATCCTGCATTTATCGACCATGGCTCTCAAACGCCAAGTTGAAATGCATAGAAATGTTACACCACCAATAGCACCTACCAAGAACGTTTAGCACAACTGTGGTGGCACCTCACCTACCTGGCGCCTGGTTTTCTGGTAACCCTGCCTGTTGAGAACAAGGCCAAAATGAAAGGAATAACCTAAAATAGTCCGTGTGCAACTAAATGAGGTGCCAGTAAGTCTAAGACGAGAGAAAAAGCCAGTTAAAGGAAAATTTTTAAATGGCCTGTGCTTTTAAAGGGTCTTTAATAACAACAGAGTAGAGAGAAGGTTTTTTTTTTCTTTTTTGGCAGCTGGTTGGTAAAGGGATACAATGTTTCAAACTATTTTTAAGCATCTTACTGGTCCCCATACCAACCAGCCACCAAAAAAAAAAAAAAAAAAAAAAAAACAACAGAAAGAAAAATTTCCAGAGAATTTTTTTTTTTTTTTAAAGTATCTCACAGGAACTTATTCATACCCTTTTTTTTTTTTTGGCAGCTGGCCAGTATGGGGATCTGAACCCTCGACCTTGGTGTTATAACAGTGTGCTCCAACCAACTGAGCTAACCTGCCAGCCTCATACCTTAAAATTTATCGTTTTAGGGCCGGCCCGGTGGCGCACTGCTACAGTGCGCCGCTTGCGGCGGCGCTCCCGCTGAGGGTTCGGATCCCACACACAGACCGGTTCCTGCCCACTGGCTGA